CATGTGGACACCAAGGGGGAAAGAAAGGGTGGGATGAATTGGGATTGACATATATACACTACTGATACTATGTGTAAAACTGACAACTAATGAGAACCTACTATATAATACAGGGGAATCTACTCAGTACTCCATGGTGACTTCAATGGGAAGGAAATCCAAAAAAGAGGGGATACATATTGGAGAATGAAATGGCAACCCACTCCAGTATTCTTGCCTGGGAAATCCCACGGACAGAGGAGCCTGGCAGGCTACAGTCCATGGGGTCACAAAGAGTCAGACACGATTTAGTGACTAAACCACCACCATGTATACATATAGCTGATTCACTTGCTACAGCAGAAACACAACATTATAAAGCAACTATACTCCCATAAAAGTTAATTTAAAAAACTATAAAGCTTCAGTTAATCTGAAAATTTCACCTCCTCCCAAATGACTCATCCTCTGTATGTTAAGGATAATAAAGCTCCATCCTTCTTATATAGCTGGGGTTATTTATTTTCAGTGGGAATGACCTACAATAGAAAATGTCTTAGATCATTTGAAGTTCTTCCGTATCTGACACCACATCCACCCTGTATGCAATAGGGCAGTTTGCTCCCATTTTCCAGAAGAGATGACTGAGGCCCCAACTGGGAAGGGTCTGGAAAGCAGACCTCCTAGGGCCTCGAGCAGAGCCAGGACTGAATCAGCACATCACTTCATTATTCAGCCCACTGTGCAGGGTTGGGGCTCCTTGGTGCCATGATCCCTCCAGGCAACAAGCCAGAGAGTGGACAGAATCCAATGCACATATGAGACGAGGTATGCAAACTTCCAATTGTCCCTGACTCAGAGGGGGGTGCTCAGCAAATATTTACCAAGTGGACAAAACTTTCATCATCCCTTTTATACGATGTTGCAAGTTCCTGGAACACACCCAGCGAGATAGGATGGGTGCTGGCAGAGGCCGGGACCCTGCGGGGAAGAGTTAATTATTCCGGGAGTTCAGACTTCCAAGGCAGGGCTCCAGAAGGCCCCGGGTCTTTCCTAGCCAACTCCTGCAAAGTTAAACCAACTGCAGCTCCAAGAAATCTTTAAAGGCAGGCCTCCGTCTCCCTTCTCCCACCCCCGAGGTTACCTCTGAATTTTTCTAGATCCATGGAGAACCTTCCAGGAGGAAAAAGCCCCAGCTCAGATTAGCGGGTTCCTTGCTTGTGGGCAGGGATTGGGGAGGGAAGGATGATGGGTCTGGGGTTGGGGGTGGGAGCCTAACCAAATCTCCTTGCTCAAAAATCAGAGCCTGGATCAAGATACTTGGCCACCTTCCACAAACTTGCCACATGTGTATCCAAACCCTGAGTTCTACTCCCTTCTCCCCTTGATCCTGAAATTGGGAAAACCAACTCAAGTTTTCCTAATCCACCAGAGATGCTCCTATCCTGAGAATTCTAACTCTGTTTAGGCTCCTCTCTCAAAATAGCCATGTGCCCTTCGGCAAATCACTCAACATCCCTTAGCCTGTCTTTCCACTTGTGAAATGTTATTGTTCAGTAGCTAAGTAATATCTGATACTGTGACTTCATGGACTGAAGCACACCAAGCTTCTCTGTCCTCCACTGTCTCCTGGAGTTTGCTCAAATTCATGTCCATCAACTCGGTGATGCTATCTAATCATCTCATCCTCTTCTCTTCCTGCCTTCAATCTTTCCTAGCATCAGGGTCTTTTCCAATGAGTTGGCTCTTCGCATCAGGTGGCCAAAGTACTGGAGCTTCAGTTTCAGTATCAGTCCTTCCAATGAATATTCAGGGTTGATTTTCTTTAGGATGGACTGGTTTGATCTCCTTGCTGTCCAAGAGACCCTCAAGAGTCTTCTCCAGTACCACAGGTCAAAAACATCAAGTCTTTGGCGCTCAGCTTTCTTTATTGTCCAACTCTCACATTCATACATGACTGAGGGAAAAACCAGAGCTTTGACTAGATGGACCTTTGCCGGCAAAGTGGTGTCTTTGCTTTTTAACACCTTGTCTAGGTTTATCATAGCTTTTCTTCCAAAGAGCAAGAGTCTTTTAATTTCAGGGCTGTGGTCACTGTTTGCAGTGATTTAGGAACCCAAGAAAATAAAGTCTGTCACTGTTTCCATTGTTTTCCCATCTACTTGCCATGAAGTGATGGGGGGCCCAAATGCTATGATCTTAGTTTTTTGAATGTTGAGTTTTAAGCCAGCATTTTCACTCTCCTCTTTCACCTTCATCAAAAGACTCTTGTGAAATGAGTCTGTTGTAAAATAGATCATTTCACCATTTCTCTCTAAAAATATACACTGGGCCAGTTTCTCCATCCTGGCTGGGAGGCTTTTACAGGGCTGGAACATAATTTTCATACTTGCATTCCCTTCCCCTAATGCTGGAAGTACAGGAGACACTCAATGTGCTGATAAAGTAAGTCTTTTACAAAATAACAGTAACACTCAATATTGACTCTGTGCCTGCCACCAACCTAAACAGTTGCTATGGATTCTCTCATTGAATCCCCATGTTGCTGAATGATGGTATGATTACACTCATTTTGAAAGTGAAGAAACTGGGACTTCCCTGGTGGTCCAGTGGTGAAGACTCCACAAGTCAAATGCAGGGAGGTGTGGGTTCAATCCCTGGTGGGAGAATGGATCCTACGTGTGGCTCACAACAAAAATAAATATAAAATTAAAAAGAAAAAGATGGGGGCTTCCCTGGTGGCTTGGTGGCAAAGAATCTTCCTACCAGTGCAGGAGACACCGGTTCGATCCCTAATCGGGGAAGTGTGCCACAACTACTGAGCCCACACTCTAGAACCCCGGAGCTGTAACTACTGAAGCCTTCGAGCCCTAAAGCCTGTGCTCCATAAGAAGAGAAGCCACCGTGATGAGAAGCCCGTGCAAGGCAACTAGAGAAAACATGTGCAGCAACGAAGACCCAGCATAGCCAAAAATAAATAAAATTTTAACAGCAGCAAAAAAGATGAAGAAACTGAGGCTCAAAGGGGCTCAGCCTTGTGTCCAAGGTCAGGCAGTCTTGCATGGGGCAGGGGAACCGGAAGCCAGATCAGACCTCATGTGTGTTTGCCAGCACACCCAACTCCTTGAAGAGGCAGGGACATTTTTAAGAGAGAAAACGAGGTTTGTCTGAAACCAGCTGGAGAGGGAGATTCCTGAACTGTTAAATTTGGCCCAAGGGGCAAGGGTTTATGATGGGGAGATGGGGGTTCCCTCCATGTGGAGACCCCAGTCTATACTGGTCCTGACTGCTGTCACCAAGTACGGCCATTGCTCCTACAGCACTGGTGCTCAACTAGGGGGTTGTTTTTGCCTCTTGGGGGACACTTGGCTTTATCTGGAGATATTTCTTTTTCTCACAGCTGGTGGTGCTGCTGGCATCTCACGGGCAGAGGCCACAGATACTGTTGAACATCCTCCGATGCCCAGGATGGCTCTTACCACGAAAGATTATCCAGCCCAAATGTCACTTGTCCCAAGACTGAGAAGCCCTGAGCTATGAAGATAGGGCTCAGGGCCGGGCTTTGGCCAGGTCCTTGTCTGAAATCCCTTCTTTGAAAGTACGTATTATTCCCATTTTATAAGTAAGAAAGCTGACGCTCAGAGAGGTGGGACTTACTTTAGACCTTTTATTCAGAAAACCAGGATTCTGTCCCATTGGTTCCCCACCATCCCTGTGGACTAGGGGGAGACGACTCAGAGTCAGAGGTGAAAAAAAAAGTAAATTCAGAGTCAGATAATCTGGATCTGGTTCCAGCTGTGTCATGAGTTCATCGTGTGTGCTTGAGTAAGTCACTGCCCCTTCTGCTTTTTTTTTCCTTCTGGAGGTGCCCCCAGTACTGGCTGACACCTGGGTCTTTGCTACCAAGAGATGCCTCAGGGACTGTTAGATGCCTGGGGGAGGGGTCACCCAGGCTACAACAGGGGGAACCTTGGGCCTTCTGACACCCATGTCCATCCTTGCACATAGAACAAACACGGAGGGAGAAGAATAGATTCCTTACCCTTGAGAAGCCTGGGGGATAAGGGTTCTTTCTCTTTGAGCAGAAAGGATCAAACCCCCTCATATTGTCCACCCCCAGGTAGCCCCAAAGGCAAGGCTCCAAGGGTGGCTCTCAGGGTCTAAAACTAGATTCCCCTCTAATTTGACTAAACTCTGCCCTTCTCTAAAACATCCTGGCTGGGCTGGAATGGGCCTCCTCAGTGTGGTACAGCCTCCTATTAAGTTCTGGAACCATCTATCTTGAGATGTATTACTTACCCATGGGGAGGGGCTGGCTTTGGGTGGGACTCCAGACATAGCACAGCAGATTCACCTTAAATAACCCAGAAGTCAGAAGGGAGACCCCAGTAAAGATACCCTGGAGAGGGGAATGGCTACCTGCTCCAGTATTCTTGCCTGGGGGACTCCATGGATAGAGGAGCCTGGCAGGCTATATACAGTCCATGAGGTTGCAGAGAGTCAGACACTGCTGAGTGCCTAACACATCCATTCATTCACACAGCAAAAGAAGTAGAAGACAGCTGTCAGGAAGACACTCAGTCTCGGGACTGGAAGGCCTCTGGGGCCCCAGCACCGCTCAGAAGGCAGAAGGGACACCATCCTCAAGACGCTCTGGCTCCATGGAGCTCCCGAGCTGGGCATGTTGGAGCCGTCAGCCCAGGAGCCGAGGAGAGCTGAGGCAGCCCCGCAGTCAGAAGGGTTTAGCACTTGACTGTTTTATTTCTTCAACAGAAGGGAAGTGGGGCTCCAGTTCAGCACCACAAGGGCAGTTCCCCTCCCCCTGTGCCCGCTGCCTCCTTCTCTGCTGCCTCCCCTGGGAGCCCACAGGTCCACAGAGTTCCTGGCCTCTGGGATGTCGCCCCAGGTACCACCTGAGTTGGAGTAAGAAACACTATCCTGGTCAGAGCAGAGTTGGAACCACCGAGCTGGGTACCGCTGGTGGCTGAGTGTCACCCTAGCTTCCTGTGTCCCGCCACACCTCAGTGGGTCATCCCCCGGCCCTCGGAGATGATGTCCTCGGGTTGGGCACGCATGTACCACTCCACCCAGGAGCCGTCGTAGATGGGTACATCTGGCTTGCCGCAGAGGTAGGCCCCCAGGACCACATGGCAGGCTGTGACGCCGGAGCCACACGTGGCCACCAGGGGCAGGGACAGGTCCACCTTCTTGTCCTGAAAGAGGCGGCGGATCTCCTCAGGGCTCTTCTCCAGGCCGTCCTTGGTCAGGAAGTCCGTGAAGGGGATGTTGATAGTGCCAGGGATGTGGCCGGGCTCGATGCCTGCAACAGGAGAGCAGGAGGCAGGGAACAAACATTTGTACAAGGGTGGTAGGAATGGCCCCTGCGAGACCGAGAACCTTCCATGCAGCCACACCACTACGCTCTCTAAGCATCATCTCCGGTAGTCCACACCGACCAGGAAACCCAGGCAGCCACTGTCTACAGGAATCTGTTTTACAGGAGATGCTGAGGTTAACTACTGTCCAGTGTCACACATCTAGCGAATTGCTGCCTGGGATCTGAACCCAAGACTCAGACTCCACAGAAGCCACACTTGGCCCCAGGTTTCCTGAAGACTGACTGTGCTGACAATTAGAGGAAGTTCTAGGTAAATGGATGCTGGCATACTTGTTATTTTGCATGTGTGCATGCTCAGTAGCTTCAGTCACGTCCAACTCTCTGCAACCCCATGGACTATAGCCTGCCAGGCTCCTCTGTCCATTGGATTCTCCAGGCAAGAATACTGGAGTGGGTTGCCATTTCCTTCTCCATGGATGATGGGTGTTACTAAAGGCCCTCTTGGGTGGCATGGAGATATATCACATATCGTAATTAATAGTAATACACAGTAACAGGAATCACTGTAGCTGACCTTACTGAGGGTTTACTTTGTGCTAGGAGCCCCTCAGCTGTATTTTCCCCTTTAATCCTTGCTCTAATACTATGGGAAAGCACAGATGAGGAGATTGAGGCACACGGAACAGACTGGCCCAAACTAGTTGGAGCAGAGAGGCCCCAGAGCCTGTGCTGCCAAGCAGGACCCACTGCCTGGGAGGGGGAGGGGCATGGAAGCTTCTCTGAGGAAGCCCTAAGGGTGAATAAGATTTCACCAGGTGGAAGGGTCTGGGTGGTAGAAGCTGAGAGCATCCCAGGCAAAGGGCATCAAGCAGGCTAGGTCTCAGGCTGTGGAGGGGGGACAATGGGGACGCTGATATTCTCCACTGATTTAGATGGAACCTGTACACACATCAGCTCGTTTACCTTGACAACAGGCCAGCTGGGCGTTTATCCTTATCTTCCATTTACAAATGAGTGAGCACAACAAAGGTAAGCATTAAGCACCCCTGTAAAGACCCACTGCAAGGGAAGCACACATTAATTATCCCACTTCCTGTTTCTCAAGTGCATCCTCTATGTGCAAACACAGAACTAAGTGCTTAACACACTTGCTCTCATTTAACCCTCACTGCACCCTTTAAGCTCCATGTTCTGCCCTGACTTGACCCACGCAGAAGCTGCAGTTTGGAGACTAGGTGACCTGCCTGGTGTCACACAGCTAGTGCAAGGCGGGGAGGGCTCTGAACCCAGGCCGGGCTCTGGCTCGCTGCCCTACATTGCTCCATCTCCCCCACCCCCACCCAGGGGCTAAGCTGAAGGGTCCCACAGGTTCAAGGTGGCATCCCTATTAGGCTGAACCATCTCAAACTGTCACTAACTTAGGTTCAAAAAAGCTTGGCCATCAGCAGTTTCCCACAGTCATGTCTACACAGCTCTGCAGGGTTCCCTGTGTTGGGACCTTGTGAATTCACCAAACCTCTCTGAACTCCATCCAGCTGCTGGGTTAGTCTTCAGGACGCACTAGGAGCATGGATGGTCCTTGCCGTCAGATCACCCTAACAGTGCTAGGACAGGGTGAGCCCAAGCTGCTCTAGAAAAAGAAGCTCCAGCCAGCCCTGATTCAGGGGTAGCGGGATCCATTCAGGGAGAGCTTCCCAAAGGAAGTGGCAAGTTCCCTGTGCCCTCCTCAAAGCAGACATGAGAGAAACGACTAGGGGATTACTGGTTGTTCAGTGCAGTTAAAGGTACTGCACTGGGGTTCAACCCCTGGCTGCCTCCTGAGATCTGAGAAAAGGTGGCCCTTCTAAGGCTCCACATCCCCTTCTATATGAGAAGAGCACCCGTCTCGAGGGATTCTTTTTGGCTGTGCTGGGTCTTCGATGGAGCACAGGGGCTTCTCTTGTTGCAGAGAACAGGCTCTCTAGTTGTGGCTCGGGCTTAGTTGCCCTGCAGTTCCCCGATCAGGGATCGAACCCATGTGCCCTGCATTGGAAGGCAGATTTTTAACCACTGGACCACCAGGGAAAGAAGGAAACGGCAACCCCCCTCCAGTATTCTTGCCTGAAGAATCCCAGGGACAGAGAAGCCTGGTGGGCTACAGTCCATGGGGTCACAAAAGAGTCAAGACACGACTCACCGGCTAAACAACCACCAGGGAAGTCCTCTTGTGAGATCATTAAAAAGCTCACACCAAAGTGGTTATTGATCCACTTTCTTTGTGGGGACCCCTTCCCAACCCTGCTCCTTACAGATGTGAAGCCTTAGAATGGCCACCTCTCCCTAGATCTCAGGAAGCAGCCACATATTGAACTCCGTGGGGAACCCAGCCCATGTGGGAGAGGCCCTGCCCCAACCAAGGCCAGCAAACACCCTCTATTCAGCTTCGGCTCCAATCTGGGGCAGCAATCTCTCTACTTGAGGCTCCTCAGTCCTGCTCTCTGCTAGCCTTTGGCCCCTCTGACGACTTTCACTCTCCACTTTCTCTCTCCTCTTTCCTGGCTCCATCATCCTCAGAGATGGTGGTAGACCTGATCAAGCACCATCTATTTGGGGCTTTCCCCCAACTGGGCCTGTCCCCTCCTCCCATGTGGCAGTGACCCCCATCCACAGTACTGGGAGGGGGCTGTTTGAACTCTCACACTTATACAGGGCATTCTGGGTTTCCAACTAGTTTGGGGGTGGAGGCGGGGCAAATATTATTGCCTCCACTTTAGAATAAAGCCCAGTGAGACGACAAGAAACTGAATCTCAGCCGGCACCCCCACGCTGTGGGGTGAATCTCAGCTGGCACCTCTCCACCCCACCCTGGTGGGGGCAGTGCTCAGGGTGCGCCCCAGGGACTCCTGGGCGCTTCGCGCATCGGTTACCGTCTCGGGGCTCGGGCTCCGTGCCCCGGAAGCGGCCGGCGGCGCGGGCATCCACCACCTGGAAGCGCCGGGATTCAATGTTCTCCTTGATGTCCTCGTACGTCTTGATGTAGGCCGGGTCCAGCACCGCGTGGAACTCTGCGGGCTCCGGACGGCTCTTCCCCGAGCTCAGCGGGAGGCCCTGGCGCAGCCAGTTGCGGAGGCCACCGTCAAGCAGAGATACGGTGTGGTGGCCGAAGACGCGGAACATCCACCAGACGCGCGGCGCCGCATAGAGGCCCTGATCGCTGGCGTCATAGACCACCACGTGGGTGGCGGTGCCCACGCCCAGGCGGCCCACATACTCTGAGAACTGCGCCGCGCTGGGCAGCATGTGGTCATAGGGTGACGTGCGGTCGCTGCACTGGTCGATGTCAAAGAAGGCGGCGCCCGGAATGTGGCGCTCCTCGAACTCGCGGCGCGCGTCGCGGCCCAGTTTGGCCAGGTACCAAGAGGCATCGAGCAGCCGCAGGGGCTGCGCGGCCGGTGGGCCCCGGAGCGCCTCGGCCACCCACTGCGCTGACACAAGCGCACGGAAGAGCTGCTTCGAGGCCATGGCGGTGGCGACAGTGGGGCTGCAGGCCTGGGCGACAAAGAGGAGGTCAGGAGGATATTAAGGAAGAGGCCAGTGGCCCAGGGGCAGAGGCGGGGTCTAGGGCTGGAGGGCGCAGTTGAGCCTAGGGAGGGCAAAGTCTAGGGAACGCGGAAAATCAGCGGTGGTGAACCCAAGATACAGACTTAGATCACCGGGAACCTCCCTTCCCTTGCCCTGCTAAGCCTGGGATATGTACACAGAGCAATCAGCAGAATGACCATGACCCCTTAGAGGGAGCAAGGCGATGGCTCTCACCATTGCTTGAGGCGGGGTGTACAGGGAGAGAGCCCAATTAGGAGAAGGCCCTGAGGGAGAGGAGCCAAGATGGCGGAGGAATAGGACGGGGAGACCACTTTCTCTCCTACAAATTCATCGAAAGAACATTTGAATGCTGAGCAAATTGCACAAAACAACTTCTGATCGCTAGCAGAGGACATCAGGCGCCCAGAAAAGCAGCCCATTGTCTTCGAAGGCAGGTAGGACAAAATATAAAAGATAAAAAGGGAGTCAAAAGAGCTACGGACGGAGACCCGTCCCGGGAAGGGAGTCTTAATAGAGGAAGTTTCCAATCACCAGGAAACCCTCGCACTGGCGGGACTGGGGGAAGTTTTCGGCAATCTAACTGGGAGGAAAAATTAAACAAGGCCCACAGATTACGTGCCTAAAAGCAACTCCCAGCAGAAAAGTACCCCAGACGCCAGTACCCGCCAGCAACAAGCGGGGGCGGGACGGAGAGGAGCGGGCGGCATTGCTTAGGGCCCGAACACACTGACGGCGGTTCGCAAAACAAAGGGACTGAGAAAGTCCACAGAAGAGCCGGCCCATCCCCGCTGGAGGTTGGAGGCAGGGGGTAGGGGAAAAGGGCAAACTCAGCCCCTGAGAAGCCACCCCCTCCCACACTGCAAACAGGCCCCCGGTTCCTATCTAAAGACTTCCTGAGACCCGACTGGCGGTGCGCGCTGGGGCCGCGGAGGGAAAAGGCGCGCCACCTCCGGGGAGAGTGCGCCCAAGCCTCCGGCTGCCTGAGCTGCCCGCCGCACCCAGGGAGAGTACGCCCAAGCCTCTGGCTGCCTGAACCGCTCAGGCCGGGGAAGGCACAAAACGCAGGCGCAACCGAATCTGCGCTTTTGTGGAGTACCCGAAATCTGGAACCGCACTCAACGCAGGGCCCGCTCCATATAGAGCAGCCGGGAGCCTGAGCAGTGTAGACGGCGAAAGCACTGACACCCGTGAGCGGGGCAAACCCAGTGTGGCCGGAACACGGTGAGTGCTATCCACACAGAGCGGTATCTGTCTGCAGCGCCCCGCCCTCCCCGTAGCAGGACTGAACTGAACTAGAGAACCTAAATAAGAGATCACCTCCGCCCGCCTGTGTCAGGGCGGAAATTAGACACCGAAGAGACGGCAAACAGAAGCCAAATAAACAAAGGGAACCGCTTCAGAAAGGACTGGTGCAACAGACTAAAATCCCTGAAGGTAACACTGACTACACCAGAAGGGGCCTACAGATATCGAGAAGTGTAAGCTGGAAAGAGGAGCTATCTGAAATTGAACTGAACCTACGCTGACTGCAACAACTCCAGAGAAATTCCTAGATATATATATATATTTTTTTTTTTAATTAAAAAAAAAAAATTTTTTTTTTCTATCTTTTTTTTTTTTTAATTTTTTCTCTTTTATTTTCTTTTAAAATTCCCTATTACTCCCCCATTACTCCTCAACTTTCATTTTCATATATTTTTACGATTTTTTTAATTAGGGAAAAAAATTTTTTTTTCTTTTTTTTCTTTTTCTTGTTTTTCTCTCCTATTTTAAAGTCCTCTAATACTCCTCTATTATTCCTTAATTTTCATTTTCATTTCACTATAACCTTGCCAAAAAAAAAAAAGAGAGAGAGAAACCCTATTTTTAAATCAAACTTCATATACATTTCTAAATTTTTTTTTGTTTTTGTTTTTAAATATTGTATTTCAAAGAGTCTAACCTCTACACTAGATTTTTAATCTTTGTTTTTCAGTAGTATGTGATATAAATTTTGGTCATTTAAGAATCCAATATTCAGTTCCCATTTCTATTCAGGAGTGTGGTGATTACTCTCCCACTTTTGACTCTCTGTTTTCTACCTCGGAACACCTCTATTTCCTCCTTTCCCCTTCTCTTCCCAATCCAACTCTGTGAATCTTTGTGGGTGTCTGGGCTACGGAGAACACTTTGGGAACAGATAACTGCGTAGATCTGTCTCTCTCCTCTTGAGTCCCCTTTTTCTCCTCCTGATCACCTCTATCTCCTTCCTCCCTCTCCTATTCTTCAGGTAACTCTGTGAACCTCTCTGGTTGTCTCTCACGGTGGAGAATCTTTTCACCATTAACCTAGAAGTTTTATTATCAGTGCTGTATAGTTGGAGAAGTCTTGAGACTATTGGAAGAATAAAACTGAAATCCAGAGGCAGGAGACTTAAGCCCAAATCTTGAGAAAACCAGAAAACTCCTGACTACACGGAACATTAAGGAATAAGAGACCATCCAAAAGCTTCCATACCTACACCAAAACCAACCACCACCCAAGAGCCAATAAGCTCCAGTACAAGACATACCACGCAAATTCTTTAGCAACGCAGAAACATAGACCTGAGTGTCAACATACAGGCTCTCCAAAGTCACACCTAACACATAGATCCATCGCAAAACTCATTACTGGACACTCCATTGCACTCCAGAGAGAAGAAATCCAATTCCACGCACCAGAACGCTGACACAAGCTTCCCTAACCAGGAAACCTTGACAAACCAATCGTCCAACCCCACCCACTGGGTGAAACCTCCACAATAAAAAGGAACCTCAGACCACAAGAATACAGAAAGCCCACTCCAGACACAGCAATCTAAACAAGATGAAAAGGCAGAGAAATACCCAACAGCTAAAGGAACATGAAAAAAGCCTACCAAGTCAAACAAAAGAGGAGGAAATAGGGAATCTACCTGAAAAAGAATTTAGAATAATGATAATAAAAATGATCCAAAATCTTGAAAACAAAATGGAGTTACAAATAAATAGCCTGGAGACAAAGATTGAGAAGATGCAAGAAATGTTTAACAAGGACCTAGAAGAAATAAAAAAAAGTCAATTAAAAATTAATAATGAAATAAATGAGATCAAAAACACTCTGGAGGGAACCATGAGTAGAATAACAGAGACAGAAGATAGGATAAGTGAGTTAGAAGATAAAATGGTGGAAATAAATGAAGCAGAGAGGAAAAAAGAAAAAAGAATCAAAAGAAATGAGGACAACCTCAGGGACCTCTGGGACAATGTGAAACGCCCCAACATTCGAATCATAGGAGTCCCAGAAGAAGAAGACAAAAAGAAAGGCCATGAGAAGATACTCGAGGAGATAATAGCTGAAAACTTCCCTAAAATGGGGAAGGAAATAGCCACCCAAGTCCAAGAAACCCAGAGAGTCCCAAACAGGATAAACCCAAGGCGAAACACCCCAAGACACATATTAATCAAATTAACAAAGATCAAACACAAAGAACAAATATTAAAAGCAGCAAGGGAGAAACAACAAATAACACACAAAGGGATTCCCATAAGGATAACAGCTGATCTATCAATAGAAACCCTTCAGGCCAGAAGGGAATGGCAGGACATACTTAAAGTAATGAAAGAGAATAACCTACAACCTAGATTACTCTACCCAGCAAGGATCTCATTCAGATATGAAGGAGAACTCAAAAGCTTTACAGACAAGCAAAAGCTGAGAGAATTCAGCACCACCAAACCAGCTCTTCAACAAATATTAAAGGATCTTCTCTAGACAGGAAACACAGAAAGGCGGTATAAACGTGAACCCCAAACAACATAATAAATGGCAACGGGACCATACCTATCAATAATTACCTTAAATGTAAATGGGTTGAATGCCCCAACCAAAAGACAAAGGCTGGCTGAATGGATAAAAAAGCAAGACCCCTATATATGCTGTCTACAAGAGACCCACCTCAAAGCAAGGGACACATACAGACTAAAAGTGAAGGGCTGGAAAAAAATATTCCACGCAAACGGAGACCAAAAGAAAGCAGGAGTCGCAATACTCATATCAGATAAAATAGACTTTCAAATAAAGGCTGTGAAAAGAGACAAAGATGGACACTACATAATGATCAAAGGATCAATCCAAGAAGAAGATATAACAATTATAAATATATATGCACCCAACATAGGAGCACCGCAATATGTAAGGCAAACGCTAACGAGTATGAAAGAGGAAATTAATAGTAACACAATAATAGCAGGAGACTTTAATACCCCACTCACAACTATGGATAGATCAACTAAACAGAAAATGAACAAAGAAGCACAAACTTTAAAGGACACAATGGACCAGCTAGACCTAATTGACATCTATAGGACGTTTCACCCCAAAACAATCAACTTCACCTTTTTCTCAAGTGCACACGGAACCTTCTCCAGAATAGATCACATCCTGGGCCATAAATCTAGTCTTGGTAAATTCAAAAAGACTGAAATCATTCCAGTCATCTTTTCTGACCACAGTGCTGTAAGATTAGATCTTAATTACAGGAAAAAAATTATTAAAAATTCAAACATATGGAGGCTAAACAACACGCTTCTGAATAACCAACAAATCATAGAAGAAATCAAAAAAGAAATCAAAATATGCATAGAAATGAATGAAAATGAAAACACAACAACCCAAAACCTATGGGACACTGTAAAGGCAGTGCTAAGGGGAAGATTCATAGCATTACAGGCCTACCTCAAGAAACAAGAAAAAAGTCAAATAAATAACCTAACTCTACACCTAAAGCAACTAGAGGAGGAAGAAATGAAGAACCCCAGGGTTAGTAGAAGGAAAGAAATCTTAAAAATCAGGGCAGAAATAAATGCAAAAGAAACTAAAGAGATCATAGTAAAAATTAACAAAGCTAAAAGCTGGTTTTTTGAAAAAATAAACAAAATTGACAA